TCGGTTTATACGAATTTAATGTAATGAGTTTCGGTTTAAAAAATGCTCCTGCAACGTTCCAAAGATTTATTCACGAAGTCTTTAGAGGATTAGAATTCGTTTTTCCCTATTTAGACGATATACTCATTGCATCCAGTACCCATGAAGAACACGAAAATCACCTTAAATTAGTTTTCGAAAGATTACATACATTTGGGTTAAGAATTAATGTTTCAAAATCTGTCTTTGCTGTTCCCCAAATCGAGTTTCTAGGCTACCTAATTACACCTAAGGGTTCCCGTCCTTTGCCAGAAAGAGTTCAAGCTATTACTAACTACAAACGACCAGAAACAATTCATGAACTTAGAACCTTTCTTGGAATACTTAACTTTTATCGTCGTTATATAAAGGATGCAGCGAAGAATCAAGCATTGTTACATGCGTATCTCAAGGGAGCTAAAAAGAGGGACAAACGTAAAATCGAATGGACTGAAGAAGCTGAAAAACAGTTTGAAACGTGCAAGAATGACCTGGTGAACACGGCACTGTTGTCTTTTCCCAATTCTGAATTACCTCTGGCGTTATTTACAGATGCTTCAGATACGGCGATTGGCTCAGTGTTGCAACAATATGAAAACTCCTCGTGGAAGCCAATAGCATTTTTTTCTAAAAAATTAAGTGATACTCAGCAAAAATATAGCACCTATGATAGAGAACTATTAAGCATATATCTTTCAGTTAGACACTTTAAGCATTATCTAGAAGGAAGAGTATTTACAATTTATACAGATCACAAGCCCTTAATATTCGCCTTTCGTCAAAAACTTGACAAAGCAACACCTAGACATGCTCGCCAACTTCAATACATCTCCCAGTTTTTCGACTGATATCAAATATGTTAAAAGGTGAGAATAATATTGTGGCGGATACATTATCTAGAGTTAATGAAATTTCATCGATAGATTATGATAAAATAGCTGATGAACAAACTCAAGATGAAGAACTGAAGAGTTTGCAAACCACTACTTCCTTGAATTTCAAGCAATGTTCTCTACCATCGGGGAAATATTTGTGGTGTGATACATCAACTAAACATAAACATGTTCGGCCGTATATTCCTCAGGCTTTCAGAAACACGTCTTTCAAAGAATTCATGGTTTATCACATCCAGGAATAAAATCGACTATGAAATTAATGACATCAAAATTCATTTGGCCTAACATAAAAAAAGATGTACAGTTGTGGACAAGAACCTGCATTCATTGCCAAAAAGCTAAAATCAGTCGGCACACCAAAACAAAATTAGGTGAGTTTGAAGTACCACCACCAGGAAGATTTTCTGTCATCCATATCGATCTCATAGGACCACTTCCACCATCTAAAGGGAATATTTATTGTCTTACTTGCATAGATAGATTTTCGAATTGGATGGAAGCAATTCCTTTAGAAAATATTTCTGCTGAGAACGTCGCAAGAGCCTTTTATAGCAACTGGATTGCGCGTTTCGGAACGCCAAGTAAACTCATTAGTGATCGTGGATCCCAATTTAAAAGTGATACATTACGAGCTTTGTCCAAAATCTGTGGCATCAATTTACAACACACTACTGCCTACCACCCCTCGTGTAATGGCAAAGTTGAGCGCCTTCATCGAACATTAAAAACAGCATTAAAAGCCCACAACAACATATCTTGGACGGACACGTTACCAACAGTACTTTTGGGTTTGCGTAACTGCTATTCAAGAAGATACCAATCATTCTATTGCGCAAGTAGTTTATGGCCAGAGTCTCAGACTTCCTGGAGAGTTTTTCAGCGAACCAAGTATCCAGACAGCATCGGAGACTTTTGCTAATAAACTCCAGAAACAGATGGAAGTTGTTGGACCGAGACTAATTCGTAAAAATTCATCTGAACAGATATTTGTACATAAAGACTTAAAAAATTGTTCTCATGTGTTTCAGCGAATAGATCGGGTAAAAAAAAAACCTTTGGAACCTCCTTATGAAGGACCATTTCCTGTTATTGATCGCAAGGACAAATATTTTACTATTAGCATAAAAGGAAAACATGTTAATGTATCCCTGGATCGCCTTGAAACCAGCATATATTTTAGCTGAGGAAAATTCTCAGTTGATACAACCTGACTACACTAATTTGCAGAGACCGGACTCAAATTCGGATGTGAATCAAAAACATTCTCGCACAGGCAGAACTATACGTTTACCTGTTAGATTCAAGGACTGACTAAATTATTTTGATAGTGGTTAACACTGCAATACTAGTTACTACTACCTATTTCTCCATCTTCGTAACGTAACTTAGTTACTGGTGGGGGAGTAGTGTAGTGGCCCAGTTATTGCATGAGAAATAATTATTTTTTATTTCATATATTTGTTCATGTGTTTAATTATTTTATAAAATTAACTTTAATATTTTGTTAATATTCATATTTATATTAATTTCTTTATGCTGAATGGCAACTAGTTCTAGTTCTGATTCATGATTGCTAGGTTTTGGTTTCAAAACGTTGCTCGTAGCGTCGCATTTCGATAGCTGGAAAATAAAATGCAATAACTTAGCTATTTGTTTATAATTCATGCTGTTACTAGTCAGATGTTACATAACTAGTCTAGTAGATTGAGGACAGAAAGAAACATGTCTTTTCGTGAAGACAAAATTGCGGCGAAAAAAAAAATAGAGGGTTGCTGTAGCAGAGTTGGTCGCCAAAAAACCGCCAAGTTACCATAATCCAAAGATCAACAAAAAATGTATACATGTAATTCCAAAAACAAAGTTAACTTTTAATACATATTTAACATCATTAGGGTTGTAAAGTATTCTATGTAAGCATTTTACTAATCTGACATTTCTACTTGAAGTTGCTGAATAACTGAAAACAGTCAAACATCAACCCAATAGGTAAACATTTATGATATATATTTTGCTCAAGTTTACTTATTAGTTTATAACAACTAGAAAGGAAACCTGTATCACAGATAGGGGAAGCACTTCCGCAGAGAACCCGGTAAATGTAAACATCGCCAACTTTGGCGATAATAGTTCAAACCTGGTAACCCAGCGGTTTCATCCTATTCGCTTGTCTTGCATTCATTTTGTTGAATTATCACTGTCGTTGTTCGCATTTGCAGATTTAAATTATTCTTTTCTTATTTATTATTATTTTTTCTGAATTTTTTAACAACGAATAGATAGAAATATTTTTGTAGATAGATGCCGGTTCTCGGTTCGGGATGAAAGGAGGTGTAAATGCTAATTTGTAACACGGCTGTTTCAAAGCCGCCTGAAATTATATTTAGGGGGCTTTGGCTGTTCACGTTGTGTTTTTAGTTAGTAACAGCTCTAAGAACCATGAGGTTTCCAACCTCTAAAATAATTTGTTTCCGTAGGCCGCAAAAATGTACATGCGCATTTTAAATAATTAAGTAATGCTTTTATTTTTATTATTGGTATTGTCATCTAAAATTATGAGAATAAATCAATTTTTATGGCGTAAAATTTTAACAAGATAATATATTGTTAATGCTTTTCTAACAATAAGCTTTCAGAGAATGGCAGGTGTGACATAAATAGATGATTAAATTTAAATAAAAAATATTATTGATTATCTAAGATGACAGAATAGTTTGATGCATCACCATGGTCATTAAAACTAGCAAACCACTGCTGGTGTAAAGAATATATTGTTTTCTATGTTAACTGGAATGCAAGATAAATTTTTTTCATTTAACCAGGTAATTTCAGTACATTAATACTAATTTATATTTTTTAAATGAATTTTTATTTCCGTTATAAATGTTTACATATTGTCTTATGCTTAATATATTCTTTTCTGTGCTAACTTGATCGTATATCACATTAAACCGGTTAGTTTTACATCTACATGCTTATTATCTGTAAATTTTTACCACCATATGCTTAATATATTGTTTTGTCTGCTAACTTGAATTTACATGCACTAAAAATCATGTTTACGGCTCGGCTCATCGTCCATGAACCGCAAGCTTGGCGAGTAAAAATGCAACAGCGCCAATGGGTTCTTTCCCGAAGCGCCAACGGGTTCTCTGCGAATGAAAAACCCAGATAGGTACAAAGAGTGATATGCTGAAATAATTTTAACAGTATGCACTTTATTTTATAAAAACAAAATATGATTCTGATCACGTGTTTTAATTCTTACAAAAATAGGAAATGCAAAGCATTAATTAAGAGACATTTTAAAAATAAAACCTACAAAATACCAAAATGTTACATGAAATAATTAGTAAATATAATTAATTATGCAACATAATTTTGTTTGAAGATGTCGTACACTAATCTCTTCTTTTTTCACGCCAGTTCATCCTCAGGTTTTAAAACCAAGACATGATTCAAAATTATTTATTTTATTTAACATATAAGATTAAATTTTCTAAAAGATTCCGCACTTACGGAATTTGTCATTAAATTAACCTTAAGTACGTTGTACAGTCAAACTGTATGTTGTATAATCATTTCCATTTTTTAATTGAAAACTAAACATAGGAAATAATTTCACCATCTTAATATTAAACAATTTAATACAAACAGACGCCATTTAAATTTAAGGCCATCTACCACATATTTGATTTAAAATGAAACTAAACGAGAGCCTAATTATTAAGAGAAAGGTGAACGTAAAGCAAAATATGATTATTACATGCAAAATTCGTGCTTTCCTTTAAATAAATAAACAGAAAACACAAAGGAGTTATAAATGAGAGACAAATTTAACAAAGGGTTCACGCGAGCCCTCTGCAACTCACCACAGGTTACAAAAATACAACTAGGCAGAAATATTTTTGAAATAGGAAAAGACGTAGAAAATCATGTATTCAAAAACAAAATTCAAAAGACGGAACAAACGCCAAACAAATAGGTGGCCGATTCTGCACTTTAGCCAAAATATCAGCTATGATTTAACACAATTTATATAATATGAAAAAACAAATAAGTGCTTTTACACGTAAAAAAATTACATACCAAATTACTTCACACACAATTTGCAAGTAAACGGAGTTTAGAACTTTAAAAGAACCGGGAAGCAAATCTTTCTCATCTTCCAATCGTTCTCAAGCTTGTGCTGATCTCCAGTTTTATTGGTTCCTGACAAAACATCAACAGCTTCATGCAAATTTTATTTATTTTAGATATTACGTCAAATATGAAGATAAAATATAAGTAATTTTGATAAGTTTATTTATTTTTGAATTTTTTTCCCGAAGAGGATTTCACTTCACGAAATAAAATGCTGAGATAAATATTAAATGACTTTCTTTTCCGCTTTTGTCTTGAGTTTGAAAGTAAGCTTTACAAGAAGAAAAAAAAAAAAAAAATCTTCAGTATATATTTGGTTGTACAAAAGTCATTATATTTGAAAGGGACAAAATCTTTACCTCATGACCGTGACTGTGCGTCATGTGATAATGTGTACAAAGGTTTGAAAGCGAAAATCGACGATTTACGTTCTCGATTTCATATGTTGTACTTAGAATGCTCCATTGATGAATGATATATTATCTTAATTAAACGCTAATATGATTGAAATTAATATATGTAACTTTGCGAAATGCTTACGAAGATACTCTATTTGGTTGATCTTCTTGATCTTTGTTTTACCTAAAATTAAGAGTGATTGTGTACTTTTAAATCCTGTCAATGTTTCTGAAGCTGGACATGAGAAAAATATATTGGAATTAATTTCGCCTTTAAACGGAAAAGTGTTAGTATTTACGTTTTATGTGCAGTTTTTCAACGTTTATGTTTGAAATAAGGGCTTAAATAATATTTTTCCTTTTCAAGAAACATAGTTACTTTGTTGTAATGTTAAGGAATATTTTTAAAGTAATATAAAAATGCATAAATAGAAAGGAGAGAGTGTAAGTATTAATATTATGAATGGATCCTCGAAAAATCGACATGTTGCTAAATTTTAAACTTTTCAGATCAAGTGCTCTTATTAAATTTTTTTTTCGTACCTGACAAACTTTGTGCAAAATTCTTAAAGTTTTTTCTTTGCTTGAAAAAAAGTATTTATACTTTTAAATTCCTTTTGGTACTATTCGGTTTCGAGGACCGTAAAAAAATTGCAGCGAAAATGTACGCGCAAAAGCGCCAAATCTAGCAAACTCGCCCATTTAACAGCGCTCCAAGTCTAGCATACGCGCTAATTTCAGATTGCGTAAGCTTATAGAGGTTTATATTTCTTAAGACGCCATTGAAATACTAGTTTAATTTTTAAATCCTTTTTTGATATCCTATGGATTTAACAATTTGGGAATTGCCCATGACGAAAACTCGGCAAAAGAATTTTGGGTAAAGTCCAGAATTACCCACTGCTTGATGCGTTTTTAAGAATTGCACATACTCGGTATCCATGTGCACATCGACCCATTTTCACTTAAACAAAAATCCTAGAATTGCACAAAAATGGCACTGCACACACCCTTGACTTTATCTATGTACACATCAACCTATTTTCACTTAAAAAGTAAAAGAAAATTGACAAAAATCCAATTGTTTTTAACCCTTGTAAAAAGCGGCAAACAAATAAGTGAGCGATTCTGCACTTTACCGAGAATATTTTCAAAGAAAAGGCATCATTCATTATAGAAAATTACATTTGAACAACCAACGAGATGAAATTATGCTTAGCGATAAGTCGGTTAGCGAAATAGCGATGCAGGCATCCATTCAGTTATCTTTAGCCAATTTTTATAAAAATATAATAATGATCTGAAATAGTTATTTACTCTTAACTTCCATTCAGTCATGTTTAGCCTTTTTCATATAAATATAATAATGAAAAAGTATTTTATGAAATAACGTTTCATCTAAATTAAAACATCAATCTTAAATAGTTATTTACTATTATACTTCCTTTCTTGCCACAATTATTAGGGTTACCGATATTGTTTTTGGCAGCATTGGCATCAACAATAGTTTGGCAATTTTTTACGGCCCTGGAAACCGAATAGTACCTTACTGGTAATTTTAAATTTTACTTGATTTTCAAGTTCTCAGTAATTTAAAATGTAGAATGGAGGAAATTAAATGGGAATTTATGAAATCACAAAATCAGATTTGATGATTCATTCATAAAATAAACCCTTATATCAGTTCAGATGGTGTAGTTCTTAAAAGAGGGTAAGTGTACTAACCTTTGCTTTTGTGTTTCAATCCCAGACAACATATAGTGTGATAGTGGTGCCTTTATTAAATAGGGGGTCTTAGATAAGAGGTTTGTGTTGTGAGAAGAGTTATATAGATCCACTGCCTTAGAGCAGGGGGGAGGGCAAAGCATTTGCCAACTAGGGCTTCACTTTTTGAATTTTCTTTTTATGGCGGGCACTAAACTTTCAAGGCTTTGGCCACCACCAGAAATGGTGGTCATTTTATTATGGAGGCACCTAATAGGCACCCACCATTACTTTCTATGAAGGGGCAGAGAGTTTACATAGCCATGCCTCCTTCCCTTTTTGAAAATAAAATCTCAAAGTTTTATTTGAGCAATAGTGCATTTTCTTTTAAATGTATGTAAAGTTTACAAATTAAAATTATTAACAATTAAAAGTGTTTGAAAACAAAGTAAAATAATACAAACTATTTTAACAAATTTTTTTTGAAAATTTTGTAAAGGAATATATTTAATTATTGGGCTTTTAGCAGATCAATTTTAATTTTTATTTATTTATTTATTTTTTGCTATTGTGAGTTAAATTAGCACTTAGTTTAAATTTTAAGCAAATGTGCGTTATTTTTGGTATTTTTTGATTATCTGCATCCAGATTTTAATGTTTGGTAGTATCGGGTACTGTGCTGTTATTGGAACCAGTTTCAGAAATGTATGTATGCATGTCTGTCTGTATGTATGTATACATGTATGTGTATACACACACATACATATGCACATGTATACATGCATACATGAACACATACATACATACATGCATTTTTTAATTTGGCGCCGATAACTGAAGAGTACCGAATCATGCTGGCATATTTTCGAGTAGACATGACAATAGCTAACCAACACATTTGCAAACCATGTACATGTGGATTGATATGCTTAATATTTAATAACTTTTTCTCTGATCTGTGTTTCTCCTCAATAGCATTTTTTGGGGAGTTATGATTAATCTTAGATACTTTTTTATTGTACATTTATTACACATTTTGGCATCTCTGCGCATAATAAAAAAGTATGGTGCGTGTCATCTGTAAATTAGTCTTATGACTATAAATTATATACAATTAAAAAAAAAGCATCTACCAAAAAAAATTCATAATGGAAAAGTACTAAAATGCTTCTTTTTAGTGTTATTATATATATATATATATATATAAACAGTACCTGTGAGCCATAAAAATGAGCAAACAAGCCTTTTTTACCAATTCCCTAAGTAATTCTTGAGTTGGACTTCTCATGTGGATGCAGGTAATCAGAAAATACCTTTTTGCAGTGGTATTCAAACTATGGCTCACCAACCCCATTTGGGATGTAGTTGATCCTTATTAGAATATAATTTAATCCTATAACTGTCACATAATTTGAATTAAATATAATTCTGCATTATTAGAATGTAGTTTAGCCCTATAGCTCTCATATATTTTGAGCCCTATAACTCTTATATATTTTGTTTGAATTAAATAATTCAATCTAATCCAGACCTTTATTTTAGTGTACATGTTAGTTTGGTAAAGTATCTAAATAGGATATGAATATAGATATCATTAGTGCATATTTGAACAAAATGCCATTTGTCAACCATGCAAGCATTTTTAGATAACTACAGTCAAAAGTCGTTAATCTGGACTCGTCGGGACTTCGGCGATTCCGGATTATAGATCATAAGTTTAAATCTGGTAAGATGGCATGCAGAAATTATAAAATTAAAAATATGAAACCGTAATTTATGAAATAAAGAACAATTATGATCTAAGGGTATCAAAATAAAAAAAAAAGCTTAATATTTATTGTTTACTTATTAAACATTTCTTTCAATGTAAGTTGTTTCGTTGCTTGTTTTATGTGATAATACTTTCTCTTTAATTCTATAAACAGACATAATTCTTGTTCAGTTACAAAGTTCCGGTGTCTAGTCCTATAATGCTGGTCGAGAAATACCGACTAATTAGTTTTCAATCATCGTGTCACTTTCTCACTACCGGAAGCGAATTATAAGACAAGGAATTTTTAAATCTATAAAGAGAGTACATCGAGATGAAATACTACATTTAGAAGGAATTATAAGCCAAATAAAATAAAACATCTGCCTGAAGATACAGACAGTGCTGACAGATAACTTAATTATTGCGTGCCACCGCGTTAAAGAAAACAAAGTTTAGATAAAACAAACATTAAAGTTTAGATAAAAAAGGATATGTTTTTATCCATTTTTTTTTTCAGCAATTCAACTTTTTGTTTAATGGACTTCAAAACATACGGTTGATCTTTGGATTATGGTAACTTGGCAATTTTTTGGCGACCAACTCTGCTACAGCAATCCTCTATTTTTTTTTTCGCCGCCATTTTGTCTTCTCGAAGTAAAGACATGTTTCTTTTCTTTTTATTTACTGAACACTTTTTCCAACAATCTACTAGCCGAATTACACTCATGCTAGAAATTTTATCTAACAAAACTGCTTAATCATGACAAATATTCACTGCAAAATTTGGAAAAAATGCACAATACCAAACTCCTTACGCGTTTTCAAAAATAACACATACACATCAACCATGTACACGTCACCTTATTTTTACTTAAAAAAACATCCCAGAATTACACAAAATGGCATTGCGCCACTCTTCACATATCCATGTACACTGCTTTTTTTTTTCTCATAAATTAGAAAAAATTTCACGAAAATGCGAAAATTTGCGAATCTTAATCGGCAAAAAAAAGACATATATGAATTACCTGATCGCGAAAAAGTATATACCCTTCTAAAGATGAACATTTCACGTATAAAATAAATAAAATATCCAAAAACTTTTACCTCTAATTATTATTATGTTATAAACGTCACCAACGAATTCAACCACAAACATTAAAATGGTTACAATACTGAGTGTCAAATATTTAAATTATTCCATGCACGTTTACTTCCTGAACGTATATCAAATTCCTAC